CCCCAAAACCCCAAAACCCCAAAACCCCAGGGTGCTGAAGGAAAATTGAAGGGATGATAGGGGGTTATGATGAATTGTCGAGTGTTTCGTCAGTGAGGATGTAGGAGGAGTGGAAGTAGCCGCAGGAGATGTTGCTAACGGGCTTTGGGAGAGGGATTTTGACAGGTTCTTCTCAGTCTTCTCTTGAGCTGGTTGGAAGTTGGTGGTAGAAGCCGAATCCCCATACGAAAAGCTCTCTTTTATCGGAAATAGCATAGGTATGTCTGCCTCCTGTTTCGATATCAACTATTTTAGCATTCTTATATTTGAAATATTGAACCACTGCTGGTTTTGACAAGCTTGAACAATTTTCATGTCCTAATCTTCCATAGTTACCTTGACCACAAGTGTAAACACTTCCATCACATGACAAAAATACTGAGAATCCATCTCCAGCTTTAACTTTGATGCATCTATCATTTTCGTTTGTTAAGAAATAGTGAGCAAAGTAGGGCTGCTCTGCTTTGTCTGGATGGTAATAAGGGTCTCCAAGTTCGCCTTTGGATGGATCTCCTGATGCATAGATTATTCCCTTGTTGTCTAAGAACAATGAATGTTCATGCCCACATGATACGTCTACTATTCTGATATTCTCAAGGGCTTTACACTTCAAAGGCTTGTTTACATCTTTGGGCCTCATTGAAAGTTTGTAGTAAGTAGTCTTTTTACAAAGTCTACTGTCTGGGTTAGCACCCCAAGTGTACAGCTGTGAGTTATTGTCAATCATTGCAGAGTGAGAGTGGCCAGCACTCACTTTATCGACTGGGCTTGATAGCGATTTCTCAACCAGAGTTGGAATGTTTCTGTCTTTGAAATCACCAAGTCCTAGCTGACCATTCATATTGAGTCCCCAAGAGTATAAGTACCCAGACACTGTAACTGCAAGAGTGTGTTGCCATCCACAGCTGATCTCGCTAATTTCAACTCTCTCAAGAGGCTGAGCAAGCAAAGAAGGAATTCTCTGGTTGATAACTGCTCCTTGTCCGAGCTGGCCATATGTAGATCTACCCCATGTGTATGCAATACCTTGCATGCTAATGCCAGCACTATGATGATAGCCGAGTTGAATATCCCTAAAAGGAATTTTAAGCAGTGTTGGTTGTTCTGTAAACTGAGAATTTTCACCTGTTCCACATCTGCCTTCTCTATTATCCCCAAGCACAAATGTATTATAGTCTCTCTTATGAAATTTAGTACTAATCCTCTTCTTCATACACTCCTCTAGCTCATTTTGCAAATCCTCATGTCTCTGTATCACAAACTCAAAATACCAGCGCTCATTCTCACATCCTAAGCCTCTCCCTTCACTATCTAAATATTGCTCATCCTGGCCAAAGTCCTCATCCTCACTATCAAGCTCCTCAATCAGGATATCTTCAAGGCGATCTTCCAAAATCTCAGGGTCCTTCAGATCTAAGTCAACTGATGCGTCATTACTGACCATTTTCTTCGGAGAAATTGGGTTCTCAAAGTTCATTGTCACCTCCAAATCCTCAATAGATGGCTGTTCAGGAGCATTCTCCATCGAAGGTAACTTCGCAGGATACCTCGCCTTTAGAAATGAGTCTTCCTCGTTAGTGATGATGTTACGGCTCGGAATTTTGTTCATCAGATTTTTGATATTTGGGGTATTCACAACTCTAGATTAGTAAGATATACGAAGTTGGAGTATAACAATAGAAGGACACTTTTTTAAGATGTCAGTCTTTTGAAGAACATTTATAACTCTGTAATAAACACAGAAGATAGATCAAAGCTGAACACATCTCAGAGGTGCTTATATCAACAAAATTAAAGAGTTTAGCACCAGTCATATTCAAAAAATTGGAAAAATGAAACAACTACCATACCAAGTTATACTTACTTTTTAAGAGCAGGTAAATTTTCTTTTGCAATATTTAAAGGAGTTCTTGAGTTCTCCTTCCTATTCAGATCTTTTTGCCGAGATTTTAAATTTGACATAACTCTTCTGTTAAAGAACTTGGTCTTGTTCAAATGTACATTTGTACGTGGAGGATTGGTTCCTCTCTGGTTGGAAATCCTAATACTATTTTTACGCTTCTTCTTCAAACTTGATTGCAACGAAACTTCTCTCTTTGGAGTGATCTTAGATTGAGCAATCTCCTTCGATGCATTATCTGGACCAATAGGAGAGTTTAAGAAATTCTCCAATCTGTTATCATCAATAGAATTCATTGAGGTAGGAGTCAACTTGTACGGATTCGTTAATTCTGATGGGTTTATCGATCTAGCTGGCATAAGCATCTTCTCCTTCTTTTCAACTACAAGGCCTGAATTTTTCCTGCTTTTAATATCTTCAGAAATTTTTGGTTTGGTTGAATTTTTCAAATTAGCCCATCGACTTAATTCTTCAATGATAATTTCTTTTTGTTTATTAAGTGAAGAATCAGATTTTAGGCCTCTCTTTTTGTTTTTCTTATTTTCTTGTAAGAGAGTCTATAAAATATTAAATAAACTCATTAAAATATTTACAGAATACGCTTCGATTTTCTCCTGAATTGTATGAGCAGATTCATATTTATCAATAAAGGCTTGAATCTTGTTCTTGATAGCCACTTTGGCTCTGAAGAAGTCCATATACAGCTCATATTTGTTTGAATCTAAAGTTTATGATTCAATAAATACCTTTAAGTTTGAAATCCTTCTTAACTACCTTATACGCTTTGGCTTGTAAGCATTGTTTGAGGTATCCTTCAACCATGTTGTAGAAGAACATATAATCGTCGCTGAGTGTTTCATCAGTTTGGCACCCCTATAAGCATTGTATTAGAGACTATTTCAGTAATTTGCTAAGAAATTGGTTGAGAGTTCTACGATATCATAGAACTAAAATTACACCAGCTTTAAGTTGAGAGGTATCATTAGATATCTGAACTTACTGCTGATACTGAATTAAACGTGCAGCAAGTTGTAGCTTTATCCTCTTTTGTGAGTATATTATTAACAGTCTGACAGTCATCACATTTCTGAAACTTATTTGTTATGAATGACTCAATCTGATCAAGCCTCTCTTGGTAAAGTTCAGAGTCGCTTGGGTTTATCAGCCCTTTAGATTTAACAAATAAATTGGATGCATTGAGAATCTGCATGCCTCACTGGGTTCAGTTTGTATTGATATCTGTGTATGATATGTATTTAGGGATTTTTGGAGTCTCAGGTATCAAGACTGACATGCTTCCATCTTGTGGAGAATCCTATGTTAAGGGAGAATTAGATTTATCTCAGAAACATATGAACAGACTTTAATATTAACAGTATGGGGAAGATAAGAAAATTAATGCTGATAGAATAAGACAAAAGTTTACTTTGAATTGTGTATTGACTTCTTCAGTCATTTGTTGATTATACATCCTTATCTTGTCTTCATAATCTCTGATCTGCAGCTTCAAATCAAAGTTACTCTGCTTGTGTTGACTCATTTCTTCGTTCAACTGGTCAATATTCCTTTCTATTCATTAAAGTCAATTTATTACCAAGTTTGGCAATCATGGCTTCCATTGCTTTGACTCTCTACACATGACATTGGACTCTTACATTTTGGACGATGTCGTGGTCGTCAATGACTTCGTTGGCTCTAGCTTTGACTTTAATGTTCTTGGCTCTCTTTGCGAACTCGAGGGTAGACACAGTCAGAGGCAAGTGAGGCAAGTTCGGGCTCACCGTGCAAATGACGCTGGTCATTGAGTTGCCTCCGAGAGAGTTCTTGAGCAGCTGTGTAAGTTTGGAGTCACGGAACGGAATGTGAGTGCTACATATGAGCTTGAAGATGATACCTCTTGGATTTGCTAGCAAGGCAGTTGATGACTTTGGAGAGCACAAACAAACTTGTGTTGATGTGAGAAGTTTCTTTGGTTCTATCAAGTCCAACATCAGACAATCTCTCACTTCCTAGACACATGTTTATTTCATGCTCCATAATTTAATCATTAAGAATCCGAACTAATGAGTAGAGAAGTTTTACCTGCAAGGTCTACCAAATTCAGAATCGAGTATTTAACACTAAGGAAGTTAATGATGATTGATACCTAAAAGACATATGCAACTGTTTATCTTGGTCTTTCACAAAGTTAGCACTGTTTGGTTTATTTTGAACCATCTAAACCTTTATTACAAAAATCTTACAATTCTGACTATGGTGTGACTTCTCGAAGAATATACATCTGTATATTTCTCGCTCAGTTTCGTTTGTCCATATTGTCTGACTTTCTCTCCTTTTTCAAGAACCTCCATAAATTCTTCATAATTTTGGATTCTAACTGATTTGAGTCCTTCGACATAAGCTCCCATCGAGTTGGAAGTGTCCTCTCTTATCTTCAGATTGGTCGAGTCTTTGTCAAGTAAATCATTGATGACTTCGTTGTAGATCTCCATGTAAGACACCCAAACTGTAATCTCAGATGAATCATTCTAAATATGAATGCACTCAAATACTTCTGCTGCATAATCGAACAGCTGCTGCACGGCTAAGCAATCAACTCCCAGGTTGACAGAGTCGCCTTTCTTGCCGATCATGGTGTGTGTTTTACCAGATGAAGTTTGGCCGTATGCAAAGATGGTTCCGTTGTATCCATCACAGACTCTAAGAACAAGATCTTTGCAGAACTTATTATAGACTTGCTTATTTGTCACTGACTCAGAGAACACATCATCTATCAAAAATCAGATCAGAAAAATAGATGAATCCCTACCAAGATAATATCTCTTAGCTGGTGCAGTAGAAGTAGCCTTTTTAGATATTTGGAAGCTTGACAACCCCTCACTTGCTTTACCTATGTAGTTAGATTAGAAAGCATTATGGGAATGAGCATTTGAACATTTAGAGCAAATCTAGGTTGATACTTTCGTACGCAAAAGAATAATTCATAAAAATTTCCGGTTTTAATAGTTAGATAGCCTTCGATATTGGACCTGATATCTAATCTCCAAGAATTCTCTAGTCAGAATTGTTCAGAATGATTGTTTCTCTATGCGAGTTGCTCTAAATGAATCAAAACTTAGTGTGATTTTTATTGTTCAGCCTATCTTCCAACTCACACAAGCCATAACGATTAACACAATAATTCTCCATCAAATTTCATGGAAATTTAATATGGAAAAGAACTTTACTTTGACTCATCTAAATCATCACTCCAAAAAATTACACTTTGCTTATTCCCTGTGTCTCTGACCTCCACAGACTTATACCTAAACCTCATAGACCAAATTTACACATTATCAATACAAACATTCGCTTTGCTCTCATCAAAGAAGAGTGGTCTCATTCTGACTCACACTCTTATCTTACTATAAAAACCCTATCACCCATCCCATTCCTCTAGCCCTACCTTAAATCACTGGCTGTGACCTTCTGTTCCTCTTGCTTATCCATATCTACACAAAATCAGCCAAATCCCTCTATGGTCATCGCCAAAATCCTCCATTTCTCTTACTGTGACTGGTCTAATTTTTTATTAATAATATCTTCGAGATTTTATATATAAATTGGGGTTTTGGGGTTTTGGGGTTTTGGGG